AAGGGCCTCCAACAAAGTTATAAAAAATCTAAATTATGGTGGAAAAGCAGAGCTTATGTAAGATTTTCAGAATTTGCACGATAAGTCACATGGTAGATAGGAGTGTGAAGGATTATGGGTAAGTGATGTAAAGGAAGTTTGGTAATTTTAGTCACGTTTTGTTAATTGCGTGAATTCAAAATCAATATACAGGGTGTCTAAAAAGTTTAGAGCCATAGGCACTACAACCAATTTTACAGTATATGTTCCACATGCTATCCTCGTAATTTGAAACAGGATTAACTCGGCCTTCTCATGCTTTGACAGTGCCATAATTAGTCATGTATCTGAAATGAAAAAGCTGCAAATCACCAATGGTTCAAGATTTTTCAGACACCCTGTAAAAAAAAGCTTTTAATATTTCAAAAGTAAGTCTACTTTATTTGAATGATAGACATACCTCATTAACGTTCCTAAGTGCTTCTAATTGTCCTTTATTTACAAAAATACCATTCAAAATTCGTCCCAGGATTTTGTACATAACCCAGCCTGATATTCTAGAAAGAGGGAGAGAAACAGAAAATGTACTTATCAAATTAACTGTAATAAAAGAAAACAACTGATTTTGCAAGTTATCAAGCTTGTATACCTAAACAAGAATCAAAACACCATGCATTTGTAGCCCAGTACAACTTCTAAAAATGAAGTTTAAAATTAGATAAGCATATATTTGGTTTTACTCATAGAACACAATTACATTTACGGCATTCAGAAAAATGAAAAACTATAATAAATTATCAAAAGTTATGATGTAATTGAAGTATTCACTATAATAATACTAATTTAATACAGATTTATATACTACTAAAACACTGAGATTGTTTGTTTGCTTGTCTGTAATTAAATACAGCAAAAACAGTGCATAATAGCACCATATTTGTAAGATACAGTACCCCTGAAATAAGAATAGAAACAGAATAAAACAAATTTAAGCACAAAAATGACTTTAGTTCTTCATATTTTCTGCTGTATTGTGTTTGTGTATTTTTGATAGTTCTTTTTAAAAAGGGAACTCAGTATTACAGAAAATTAACTCCTGCTAAAGTAATATTGATTTCTGTTGGAGATTTGCTGGAATAACTGGAAAGAGAAGAGTAGCTTAATTTTGGCAGATTGTTATACTTAAAACATGCTGTGTTTGGAAAACATAAATGTGTAATAATCAACAACATTATAATATACTAGACCACCGTGATCCATTGTGTCACCCACTATTCAGAGGTTATGAAGAATTCAAGCTAATTTCAATATTGCACAGAAATGAAAGTTTGTTTTCAGATAATTTAAACAAATATTTCAATTCATTCGTGTTATTTATAATTCAAGAAAAGATATTTGATTGTTGTTCTGGAGTAAAAGGAAAGACCATTTCATTTTTCAAAAAATTGAAGTAAGAAGTTTCGTAAAGAGCACGAATGGTAGTGTGATGTAAAATTACTCATGCTAGAAATTTTCATAAAAGTGACCCGAAAAACGGTGCTAACTCGGTAACCCATGGCCCGATTTTAATTAATGTTCAGAAATTCTAGCTTCTGTAAGTATACATCTTTAAAGTGGTTACATTTGAACGCCCATGAAATAGCTTTCTGGCTTATATCAAAATTATTTTCATAAGCTAATGAAGTTCCAAAGCACAGGTCAGTTTTTGCAGAAATAGTACAGAAAAAAAAATGTGGAACTCGCATACTCTTGAAACTGTGCTATACAAAAAAATGTGGAACTCGCATACTCTTGAAACTGTGCTATACAAAAAAATGTGGAACTCGCATACTCTTGAAACTGTGCTATACAAAAAAATGTGGAACTCACATACTCTTGAAACTGTGCTATACAACAAAATGTGGAACACGCATACTCTTGAAACTGTGCTACACAACAAAATGTGGAACTCGCATACTCTTGAAACTGTGCTATACAAAAAAATGTGGAACTCGCAAACTCTTGAAACTGTGCTATACAACAAAATGTGGAACTTGCATACTCTTGAAACTGTGCTACACAACAAAAATGTGGAACTTGCATACTCTTGAAACTGTGCTACACAACAAAAATGTGGAACTTGCATACTCTTGAAACTGTGCTATACAAAAAATGTGGAACTCGCATACTCTTGAAACTGTGCTATACAATGTTAAACTTGGATTCCCGAAAGTGACAGAATCTGCATCAATCTCTTTTTTAAAAGACTTACCAGAGATTAAATGTTGGATTTTTATTTATACTTTGCTACTCAAGAAAGCATTTAGTTTGGTTTGTTTTAAATTTCACACATGGCTATCTGTCCTAAATTTAGCAGTGAAAGACTAGAGGGAAATCAGTTAGTTATCACCACACACCACCATCTCTTGGGCTACTCTATTACCAATGAATAGTGAGACTGACCATCACATTATAATGCCCCCATGGCTGAAAGGATGAGCATGTTTGCTGGGATGGGGGAACCCGTGGTCCTCAGATTGGGAGTTGAGTGCCCTAACCACCTGGTCATGTAGGTGTAAGATAGATTTGTTTCCCATACATTGCAAAATGTAATAAAGGGTTGAAGTCAAAAATGGAAACTATGGAAAATAATCATATATCTGCTGATATTCATGTTTGTTTGTACACATCAAGCAGTGTTTGCCTGTGTTTCCTTTTAGCAAAGACACATCGGGCTATCGGGAGTCAAACCCCTGATTTTAGCATTGTAAATCCGAAGACTTACCACTGTCCCATCAGGGGAACCACATCCAGCAGATAGCAACACGTGCAATACAGCTTTCTTGTCACACCTAACTGTATATATTTATAATAATCTTCATGCATAAAGCATAGCTAGCCATCAAAGTTTCTCTTCTGTATTTACTGCTTGATTTTCTAAGATTCTTAATATTCACTTAACAAAACTTTATCTTATTAAACTCACACACACACACAAAAAAATGCAAGCCAGAATCGAGTCAGCTTAAACAAGGCAGCTACATTTCCCTCAGCCCTTTCACCCATTTTCTCATAGAGTATCTCCCATTCTATACGAGTTTACGACCACGAGTCTGGGATCTAGGTTTTTATTAAATATAACTCACAAGTTGCTCCGACCAGCTTATTAAACATGGTAAATTTCTTACTAACACAAATAATTCTGAAAATTGTAAAGATTTATAATACAGCTGTGTAAATAATGAATACTGCACCTATATGATTGCTGAGGTGCTGAAAAAAGAAATTCTAACAGAAAGCAGATTTAGAAAGACTAACATAATTATTACCATCCAATTTTAATCCACCAATAACAAACATGTGCAACCCCAGTAACAAACTTTTTCACCAAAACACTGACCAAATTTTCTTTCATAAACTTTTTTTTTTACATAATTTCAGCATTTTTAATCTTTTACCTATCACTTTCAAGATTTACTGTCTCTCTCCAACTATCAAATAAAAATCAAACCAAGAATTAATATATTTAATATGGCAACTACACTACTTAAACATAATAAATATGACACATGAAACTGGCATTTGGTAATGATTGAAAAGCCTCATAGGAAGAGAAATGCACACACAAAGTGTGCTGTCTAAACAGTATTATATACACTTCTTACAGGAAACCCACATAAAGCCAGTACAAAATGCGATAAACATTATTATAAGTTTTAGCGTAATATAACATAAACATAAAAATATTTTTGCCACACTTAAACCTTAATGACAAACAACTTGCTTTTACTTAAACTAATTAGATCATTGAACTGATGTGGTTAATACTAGTTTTTGTGTAAGTTACTTATATGGTTTTAAGGGTTGGATGTTTTCAACTTACATGTAATGTTTGGTTTTTTACATTTCTGAATGGGAAAAGAAGCATGATAAAAATAAAATAAGATATGATGCCTATAGCATTTTGCCAGAAATGCATATAATAAATTCCATTTTGAAGGTGTTTGTGAAGTAAAAATAAAACTAATTTCACTAAAAGGCCCCACCTGAGCAATAGAGATGAAACACAAGACCTCATACGATTCAAAATTTCTACTGCTCTTCTTCTGTGCCTTTTTCGTAAAGACATCAGATGAACATCATCGAGACCAAGTTCTACAAGAAAACAAGTCAATATCATAAACACATTTAATATTTATTTAAGCATGAGAACGTGTATGCCTTAATTTAAAGAAACAGCAGTCAAAATGATATTACGCATTGCAAACTATTTCCCTCCAAATCATGAGTACCAGTTTACTTAACAGAAATATTTTTTACAAACGTGCAAAAAATAAATACTGAACATTACACATCAATGTCTCCTGTAAACAAATGTGCAAAAAATAAATACTGAACATTACACATCAATGTCTCCTGTAAACAAATGTAATTGAAATTTCAGGTATAAACATCCTGGTTCATGTAAAATCATTTCCAAACAACACTGTTACAAAGATGGTAATCTAAAATTATTCTAAGTATTAAGATCACCAAACTGGCTGTAGATGAGTCTTCTTTACCTTTTGTAAATGTCACAGTATAATATTATTACCATTTGGATACATATATATTTATTTGCACAACGTTTTTGACACAACACCCTTTCCTCAGATGAGTTAAAGCTGTTACTTAGCTACAAATAATACAAGGGGATAAAAAAACAGTATGAAAGATCATTTATCTTTGCTGATAAATGTTTTCCACACTCAAAAGTGTGTGGTGTGTGGCATAACCCTTTAATTGTTTGATTTGTGCTAAGGTACATGAGGGCTATCTACACTAGCCATCTCTAATTTAGCAGTGAAAGACTAGAGGGAAGGCAGCTAGTCATCACCACCCACCATCAACTCTTGGGCTAGACTTTTATCAACGAATAGTGGCATTGACCATCACATTCTAATGCCCCCATGGCTGAAGAGCTAGCATGTTTGGTGGGACATGGATTCGAACCTGCGACCCTCAGATTGCGAGTCAAGTGCCCTAACCACCAGGCCAGGCATGATAACCCTAATCACTAGTTTTAAAATTTTCTCTGACACTAAGGTCAACCTTTTAATGTATATTTTAGAAAACTCTAAATGTCAAGGGGTGAAGTTAAAACAATCTTCTTTAAATTGTTCAATGCAATATATAGATAGAGAAATGACAATATAAATAACTAGACTGATTTCTTGCACTGCGAGTAGATAAACTATGTCCTACAGTAAAATAAACGAACCTGAAAGTTCTTCAGTAGCTGTTTCCTCGATTGCACTGTGCACCCTACAATAAATAATCAATACTAAAAAAATGAAATACATATATATCTAAATTATAAAAATCATGAACATCTATTTTTGCACATATCGTGATCAAACCTTTAGAAAGTGATGGTTTTACTTCTTGTGAACAATTCCTTAAAGTTAACATTTTG